GAACTGCACTCATGTCAATCTTCATTATACGTCTAGTGACCTAAAGGATCAGGAATTTACACAGAAATCTAAGTAAACAAGAAGTAGATATTATATTGGTTATGATTAGTTTTCCTTTTTTGTACAACTTTTTTCATGAGATGATGTTTCTCTAAATTTAGATCACTTTTGGTGTGATATTAAGTTGTTTCTAAGTTGCTTACCTATTTAAATTTAGTTTATATTTGATACTCGCCTTTTGATCCGAAGATTTGAATTTACTTTCACCACTTAAAAACGTCATCTTTAGGTTCTACGCTTCTAATATATACGGAGTATACAAGATACAATGTATATGTATAGTATTTTCTTTTTGTAACAGTAGATATTGTCCACTTTGGCCGTTATGTAATGCCACTAGCTTTACGGTTTTAACGCGTCTTTAGGGAGAAGTTTACACACACTTGTAAGGAATGTTTTGTTTTCGTCTCTAATCGATGTAAGATCTCACGCTTGTATTCGTTTTAAAGTGCATATCATCTATGTCAAGGTAGTATCTATTAAATACCATGTCATATCATTCCATTAGTTTACTTAATCACATACTATTTATCACGACTGCTTCACATGAGTGAACTTTCGTCTTCTACTCTTCTTGTAACACAACATACAAATCTAATAATTTGTCTCTACATCTTCCGCATTAATTAGTACATACATATAAATGTTGCTGTTTTTCATAATCAAGAAAGGCTACAAACACAGGCACAGGACAAAGCTTTTACAAAGGGAACAATATTAGAGAACATATGTGTTTCCTATAAGCATCTAACAGATTTGGGTTTAGTCGAGTACCACTTGTGTTGTCTTGCCTGCATAAAAAGAAAGAAAATAGGAAGATTGATGGCTTTAGTATACTTGCAGTCCAATGATAGAAACCTAACCCATGAAAGCGAAGACTGTGAATCCATTACTTAAGTTCAAGACAGAAGGACTCTTCGAGGCAGCCTAAAAGGAACAAGGTGAGGGATAATGGATACCCACCAAGCACACCTCGACGTTTTGAAGGCAGAGGCGCAGCTCAGTGGGGTCTGGTCTGCCATGATCACAAGCCATTTCTTTCACTCCCTTTTTCTGTTCTCTTCATTCCAATCACCACCCTTCAAATGAATCAAATTCACTCTCTCTCTCCCATTCAATTTACACCCACTTTTCTATACTTAATCAAACTGTTCATGAGTTATCCCATTTAAGTGTTTCAAGACGAAACTGATATGGAAGGAATCCGAAGTAGTTGCATGTTAGAAAAGAAACCCAGTTCATAATTCTCTTCATCAAATGCCTGCTTTCAACCCTCAAGAGTGTCAGAACAAAAGAGAGAGATATCTAGAGAGTGTTAAGTGAAAGAAACAATCATATAATCACTAATTTACAGAGTTGACGATGATCATCTACTTAAGGGTTGAAGATTAAGCTCCCACATTTGCATTTCCAGCTCATGGGCTTGTAATTTGAGGCTTCATCTCTAGCATAAGCTATGTTCTTCATTGCTGAAGACTTTTGTGGGTTTGCAGGAACTTGAATGGCCTCACAGTGTGCACACCAGCTGCATCTTCTCTCACATTTTGGAGGCCTTGACCCAATTTGTCCACGTAATACCACTTTATCTTCACTCACTGTCTATCCCAATTCACCAAAACAAAAACCAAATTTCTTCTTAACAATCAAGCTTTCAGAAACAGTAAATGAATCAAAAAGAGAGGAAAGGGCTGGCCTTGTGGACTGACCTTGCCACTCTTTGAAATAGATCTGCCTGCAAAGGAAAACGATTCACAAGAATTCAGTTCAAGAATTTTGGTTTCGGACTTTTTTTTGAAGTTTCAAGAGATACCCATTTACCTTCAGCCATGAATCTCATCTGGGTCGATGCCAAAATCAGAAAAAAGAGAAAAGAAACAGTCGCACACAAGATTCTACTGCGGCCAATGACGCCATTGTTGTTGCACTCACACCCCATTTTTTCTTTTCGTTCTAACAGAGAGATGGGGAGAAAAAAGTGAGATTAGCTTCTGATTTTTCACTCTATACTGCTCGTACGTGCATATCATATAAAATGAATTCCCTCTGAATCTATCTTAGTCTGAGAATGATATTTGAGATGATGGAACATGGAAGACAAAAAGAAAAAGAAAAGAGAAAATGAGAGCAGAGAGTACCGAAAATTGCAGAGCTCCTCAGAACTCGAAAGAAGAGCCTAAAAAACAGAGTTAAACAGAACAAATTAGCAGATGTGAGCAGCGCAATGGCAGCTGTGTACGAGTGGGATTTCGTTTTCGTTTCCCTTTTATTTTCTCTCTCTTTCATTTCTGGTTTTTAATTGAACTTTTGGAATTTGGGTTTTCTTGTGAGTTCGTTCTGATTTTGTTCTGAACACTCCCACCTTATCACGCCATATCCATATCCTTTCTTCTTCCCAAGCAAGAGAGTGACTACAGAAGCTTTGGCTACGGTGAATTGGCCTGTCATTTGTCACTTGCTGACGTGCCCTTCAAAAGCATCATTATTTCATCCTGGGCTTGGATTGTTTAGGCCTTTAAGAACTTCAATCTTTAATGATAAAAATATATTTCCTTGGAAGCTTGGAATGTATTAAAAGATTGAATCTTTCTGGACCCATCAATGCAAATGCAAAGCTTTCTCCAAGATTTCAGGATTATATGTCTGATTCCCGCATCAACTAACTCCATGGTGGAACAGCCATCCTACTTGTTCCCGACCAGAACTCTGGTAACTGTCTCGTGTAACGAACAGAGTCAGAAATTTTAATCAAAAGGACGATCATTACTTAGAGAACAATCATCCCACGTCGACAAAAACCATAAGATATAACAACAAAATGCGTTTTAAGTATGTTTCATTTAACCGAAATGGAATGAGGGAGACGACACGACAACGACAATCAAATCCCAGAACGAAAATTACTTCAAAACCTTAAAAGTCTCACAAGAATCTTGGAGGACCTACTGGCGGCAGTTGAGAAACGGTCGTGGCGAATGGACAAGGGAGACGGTGGCAGCAGTAGCGAACGACTAAGGGATACAATAGCAGCAGCCACGAAGTGTTGAGGGAGATACAACGCCAAGGACTACTCTGCATGTAGTCATTCATGGGATTTAGTTCATATTCTCGTTTATTTGGTTCATAATACGATGATTCATATATGAACATCAATGTTGCTTTGATTCATATATGAGAATTAGTATTACTATGTCTACGTAAAGATTTGTCCAACATTATTTTGAGATATGAAATCATTGGCATTTTATATTTATCTCGATGCAATTTGGTGAAACTTTGTGTGAGAGACTTTGTAATGTGAGAACGTGAGAGATACACTTATAAACACTTTGGTTATGGTGATTAGCTACCACAAGTGAATGTAGGAGAATTTCTCCTCTCCAACCTAGATCATGGGTTTGCCTTGGTATCGTGTTCATACAGTTGTATTGAATGATCCCAGTCGTTTGCTTTCTGTTCATATAATGCATACAGCTCTAGTTGCTGGTTGGGCAGGTTCAATGACCCTATACAAATTAGCAGTTTTTGATCCCTCTGATTGATCCTGTTCTTGATCCAATGTGGAGACAAGGTATGTTCGTTATACCCTTCATGACTCGTTTAGGAATAACCAATTCATGTGTGTTCCTTTGTTTAATTTTTGTTTGTAGGTGTGTGAATGGGATCGATCTTGTTTCCGCTCCCGCTACAACATATGCCTCAAGTCCTTAACTTCATATCGTAGTATTATTACGAAGTCTCGAGATTTTTATATGCAATCTATCAGAACTTTAGTATTCAAATAGGTTATGGTAGTCAGATATGTTCTTGTTATGATCTGTCCGGTGGCCTCATCAACCTCGTTGAGCTACCTGTGTCACATCTCGTTGAATGACACAACCTGTAGGTCTCACCAGGCTTCCAGTCAGCAGTTTGTTTGGACTTACAGGATACCACTTTGTTGCTTAATTATGAAGTATCTAGATCATTGGTTGTACACACCAATGTGATGGCAAGTGTCCTGTGTCAGCTTGCCCCAAATAAATTGTTTTTTTTTTAAACTACATGGACACGATCAATGGGAACGGAGCTAAGGAGTTGGTTCGTGAGAAAAGGAAAGCAGAGACCATTCCCCTGTAATGAGAAGGTGGAGAATTGAAAAGATCACCGCCAGCGTCAGCCATAGAATAGCATGCCTTTGAATTCAACCTGTATACTCACAACAACACAATTTCGTGCCACTTTCCATCGTGACGCCTTCAAATTCTACACTAAAAACCATAAACTATAAACCCCCAATTGACCGTCACTTCCTAAACAACAATATCATATCCCCTGTAGTCCAAGGGGACGGGACAACTCAAAGAAGTCCACCCACGTCCACACCTCTTAAAGACATACAACCAAATAGTTTTTCACAGACCAAACCAAAACGTAACCGTCATTCCACACCGATTAGGATCTCACAATCCACTCCTTTCAGGGCCAGCGTCCTCGCTAACTCACTCATTAATTGAAAGGGATGGAAAAGTGGATATCAGGTCCCAGTTCTGAAGGTTCCAGGAAACTAACAGGCTCTTATCTTTCCAGGAAAGTTGGCCAAAAGCGAAGTGAAAGAACAGAGCATTGAACTGTTGGTCGCCAAAAAGCTCCACCAGCATCTCACGTGACTTCAAATAAAATAAAAATCTTTTCTTTTTTCTTTATGCTATTCATTACTTGCTTTACACGCCTCTCTCTGTATCTCTCTCATAATCATCACATCAAATCTTCATATCTACTAATTAGCCACCCCCCTTTGACTAACTACAGTGCCAACGCTATGGCTTGACTTCTCCAACGCATTAATTATAATATATGATTAAGGTTTCATCAACTCTTTCATCATAATTCATTACACTTTATATGAATCAATGAAATATAATTATGAAATTGAAGAAAGGGAGTTTAGAGAAGCCGTCATATTACAAATATTTTCTTCAATAACAACATTAATTTAGTTTATGTACAAACATATGAAATCAAATAAGGAGACATAATAATTGGATTTGTAGTTACTATGTTTTTTTTTTTTTAATTAATAGAACCAACTAGAACTAAACGAGGCCCCAACCAAAAAATCCTGGGTTTCTGGGGATCTTCCTCTTTGATTAATTACCTAATTCTTTTTTTTTTTTTTGCTTCTAGCTAGGCAAATTCGATTAGCAAGCAGCAGAGGGATTGGTGAAGGGTTTGTAAAACTGGGGCTTTGGAGCCATTGAAAATGCGGCCTTGGAATTCCCGTTGCCGTTAACAGTGGCGGTGGCGCCGCCGATCCGCTCGCAGGAGGGGCACATGGTGAGTGTTGCCGCCGGCATTTGCATGAACAGAGGCTTGGTTAGTTTCAGGGCTTTCAATTCTTGCAGCTCTTTGTGCAGTCTTCTGTTTTCGTCTGTTAGCGTTTCGCAGCATCTCTTTAGAAACTCGCAATCTACCTCTGTTTGCTTTAGCTTTGTCCTGCAAATTCAACACCCCTTGATTTAATTTCTTCCAAATCCCATCTTTAATTTTGGGGGAACAGAGTAATTTCGTTTAATTTAGTTTAATTACCTGGCTCTTCTGTTCTGGAACCAAACTTCAACTTGTCGTGGCCGAAGATTTAACTCTCTGGCTAAGGCTTGTTTTTGCTTCTGTAATTAAATCAAATCAAATCAATCCCAAATTAGCTCAGATCAAAATTAATTAACAAATTAAATTCATAATCAGAAACTTACAGGGTTGAGAGTGCAGTGAAGTTTGAAGCTCTCCTCCAAGAGGGCGGATTGTTCTTTAGTTAGCCTAAGTTTCTTCCTAGCATTAGACCCATCTTCCTCTTCATCACTAACCCGAGAAGAAGCTTTCTCTTCTTCAATATCCTCGCCGGAAACGTCTCTTTCACGCTTGACCCTTCCGCCAGAGAGGGAAGAAACCGTGCTGTGAGGGGACGGTTGACGACACAAGTCAGCCGTAGTAGAAAGCCCCAAAGTTAAGGACGGCTCGGATTCGACGGCGGGGAAACTGAACAAATTGACAGGGTTGTTGGGTTTTTGAGAAAGGCAGGCGGGCTTGGATTGAAGCGTTAACCCCAATCCCAATAGAAGACCCGTATTAGGAAGATCGTCAAAACCCATCTGGGTATATGAATGAAGATTTGAGGTTGAAGATTTTGGAGGCGTTTTTTGAAGCGATGGCGTGGGGATTTTGAGGAGAGGGATGGCGTTTAAGAAGAGAGAAATGGGAATGGAGGGAATGGGTTGGTGGTGGGCGATTAATAATCAAACGAAAGAATGAGGAGACAGACGAATCTTTGGCATTGGGTGAAATTTTAAATTTTTATCAATGCTATTTACATAGGTTGACCATTTGTACCCCACTATCTGATATCTCCCTCGTTATTAAACCCAAAAACAAAAAAATAGGTCTCGTTTTCCTCTCCAACCCATGTGTGGGATCTTAAAATCCACTCTTCTTAGGATCTTAAAATTTACCACTAACAATATATGGTATGCTTTGGCCTATTATATATGGCCGTTAGTCTCACAGTTTTAAAACACATCTACTGGATCACACCCTTCAAAAAATGTTATGTTTTTCTCTCCAACCAGTGTCACCACGTACTTCTTGCTTAATAAAATTGCTCACCAAATTAAACCAAAATGGTGTCTTTTTTTTATTCTTTGTGATCTTGATGTATTAACTTGAAATGGGTTGGTATATATAATTGGTATTTGGTATGATTTGGTCCGGAATGTTCCCTTTAAGTGGCAAGCTTTTTAAAACCAGTGAGCAGCAGAATCAAGACGGCTCCCTTTGGAGAGGGTGTGAGAAAGTAAATATATATATATATATATATCATCACATGGGCTGTCTAATCTTCCCCATGTCCCCTTTGACACTGGTTGGAAGATGAGCATCCATCATCATGTCACCATGTGTTGCCCAATATCTCCACAATTCCATTCATGTCGACATGCCTATGTTTGCTTAACAATCTCTTCCTCTTTTCATAATATCATTTTTTCAAAAATAAATAAATAAATAAATTCAATTCACCCATTTATTACCTTTTTCTTCGGTGCAAAGGGATTAGCCAGAAAGAGATGAGCACTAACAATAGGGTGCCATTATTGGAATAATAATTATCATACTTTAAAGAATTTAGAGAGAGAAAAGTTGGTACGCGACAACAATTAAATTTTATTCAAAGAATTATAATGATGCTACGAATATGATTCATCAACAATAATCTACACCTTTACCTCACTACAATACTATATGGTTGTTCGAGTGGACTTTGTAGCTACTTTTAAGTACTTGATTTATTTTAATTAATTAGATATATATATATTTTTTAAATAAATAAATAAAAAAGAAAGTAAAAACCATGTGTCGGCAATGTTGAGATGACAAGTTAGGTCATCTAAATAGTATGAGGAACCAACAAAAACCAAACACTCGAAAAGGTAACACGATTTCTTCATTTTGCTTTCTTTAATCGACAATAATGTCTAAACATTCACGCATTATACCTTCCCCTTACATTTCATATTTCCCAAATTACACCTCCCCTATTTCCCTATTTCCTTTTTTTAAAATTTTATTTATTTCAAATATCCGAATCTAAATTAATTATATTTGTTTTAAATCCCAAAAATAATAATAAGAGACGTGTGGTTGGAGTGGAAAAAAAATAATAAAAATAAAGGGTGGGGAGGGTATAAGACAGGTATGGCCCACCAATGATTTTGTTGGGATGGGCATTTGATTCGCTGGCGTTTCATTGTGGAGCGTAGAATTTGGAAATAATAATAATAATAATGGAGGTAAAATAATTTCATTTAAATAAATAAATAAATAAAAGAATGTGGATAAGGTCTCCCATCCGACCATATTTGCCTCTTGTCTTCGACCACATTTCTGTCTCTAAATTATTAGTTTAGTTAAGAAATCTTAGTACTATTTTTCGGAATAATAAATATCTAATGCTATAAAAAAATTAAAAAAAAATTGCAAAAATGAGAGAAATACAATCCAGCGGCGGTGGAAAAAAAAAAAAAAAAAA